CTTCAGCTTCGTTGACGACACCCAAATAGGAACAAAAAAGATATGCACGTAGATGATTTTGTAAAAGTACTCGGATGATAAAACCGGGTGCTCCTGAAGGGTAAGCGTCTTAAGCATTATTGGTGACAGCTGCCATATAAATCTAACATAAATTTAAAATAGGCATGACTTTAAAAAAGTGGAAAGACCAGCGGAGAGAAATAATTTACAATAAAAAACATTTGAAAAACACATGGCAGGTCGATCGTGCAAAAGACCCAGTTATTAACAAATTCTGCTTACTGCGTTTCAGACTGTAAACACATCTTGTAACTTGGTTAATATATAACCAATTCTGTATCATATTCCCTACAATGCTATTCAGCGCCCATACACCTGAAATATAAACTCGCTCTTTTTGTCAAGACTATAAATTTCTGTGTAACAGTTTGTACATAAGTCAATATGCCTTTGAAAAGCACCTGGGCACATTATATCAAATCACTGATCGATTTTAGAGCAGATTTCACTGGCGATCAGCGATATTTTAGTTAAATAGTTTTCTGTAGGACATTTTGATACACCAGGTACAAGTGGCAGGGATAGAAGACGCGTATATTTATGATTTTATGAAAACAGCTATCTTCACCACTATGTCTCTGTCAAAAGCAATTTATCTTCACTGAAATTGGAAATACGCCAAATGACAGGATCAGGCATATTCAGAAATATTTAATATGAAATTTCAAACACGTGTAGAAAAATGCTCCCCCACACCCACATCTTGCCGTAATACAGACAATAAATGCACCCTTTGTCAGTACCTGTTTTTTTTATTTTTTCAAGTTTTTACGACAGTGACTTTTTGTGTTGGCATGGAAGTAGTCAACTGTGTACGATAGTGCATACAGGTTCAATATCTCCCACAATGCATTGCGGTACCCTACATCAAGGACGACAACTCTGTTGATGGAGTTGGATAACATCTATTTACTTGTAAGGATATCATTGAAGGTGCTGCATTACGGTGTGTACATTGAGCTATAAGCCTTACTAAAAAAACTTGTATGTTTGAGTTTTTCGTCAAATATTTCCCCATTCCTTTCTTTGTTTCATCCTAGCGGTTCCTTTTAGTTTTTTCACCCAAGTTCGTTCTATTCAACCATTGATTCACCATCTTGAATTTCCTTTTCCGGTTTTATCAATAATTTGATTTGTCAAATCAGAATTCCAGTTTCAGAATATCTATGCTAGATTGTAACTGCTCGGCACCAGCTAAAATGTGCATTGTTTTAAAGGCACCCCAACATGCCCACAGTTATTTCCGAATACCGCACCCAATACTGGGAGTACCTTATCTACCAGTCAAAGCTAAGGCGATAACAAACACAAGAACCAGATACCATACAAATCCGGACAGGTCACTGTTGTCTTTTAATCTGGGTGATTGACATTCACAGTATTTTAATGTTCATATCAGCACAATACTAGATAGGAAATCCAACACCAAGGCATTTAGGGTCAGTACACAATCGCACTAAATGTTAACACGGCTGTTGTCGCACCTGTAACACACCAAGTGTTCCGCTTGTCGATTTAAATGTTAATGATCATGTAAACAGACCGTGTGATGTCAAGAATCTCAATAGTCAAAGACATTCCAGAACAGAAAGAGTCGACAATAAAGTGATGATTTAAGTTCAAAATCAATAAATCGATTTAAAATTTTAAAAATTAACTGTTTCTCATATTTCTTTAATTTTTTCTTTTCAATTAATGTAGTTTAATTACTATTTCTTGCATTCATTTGTTGATTAATGATGTATTAATGAGATATAGGTCATGCCCACTGTTACGATCTAAGATTCTGATCTCGCTGATTATTAGGCATCTGTGAGATCTAGGTCTCGTTTTGTTTCCAATATATAATCAGTTGAACTTTGTCCATGACTTAAGTTTAGTAGGTGCTCGTTACGGAACTCAATATACACAGAGAGTTGTCATGTATCTTGTCTTATTTGAGTTTAACATGTGCTCGTTACGAAACTCAATATACGCAGAGATTTATCATGTATCTTGTCTTATTTGAGTTTAACAGGTGCTCGTTGCAGAACTCAATATATACATAGGGTTACCATGTTATTTGTCTAACTTGAGTTTAACAGGTGCTCGTTACGGAACTCAATATACACAGAGAGTTATCATGTATCTTGTCTAATTGTCAATATAACTGTGGGCAGTATCGATTTCTGTCAATACAATAGGACATTGATAATCGCCATTAATGATACACACAGCGTGGACGCTTTATATAGACAAGTATATTCTGTAGTGGTGAAGGACGCTGTTACAACTAATGTCTGTTCAGAAATCATTAGAGGGTAAAATCGAGATAAAAGAATGGACTGCTTTGACGGTAAGACTATGTTTTGATACTTTAACACAGTAATTATTGATTTTTTGTTGTGTTTGTTACAGCGTGTATGATTATATATTTTGTTATTATTCCGGATACTAACATATCCGAGTCCTTAGTTCTAATTTTACACGCTTCTTTAGTCCTGTATATATTTGACGACAGGGGATTATGAAGTGGGAAGCGACTGTTGAAATAGCACTACGCCAGTATATATATATATATATATATATATATATATAGACATATATCTACATATCTTTAATGAAAGCATATACATGCACGTGACTCATCGCTTGGAGAACAAACCAAATGATATGCAAGTATTTAGTTTATATATTGAAAGTGGTATGTAATTAAAAAATGGCGATTATACGAAATATATTGATAAGCTAATTGATAATGAATATTAATAGATTTCTGCTGTTTATGTAAAGAAAAGCACAAAGGTTAGCTCGATTTTTAAAATTATTTCTCCAATCGTTTCGCAAAAAAATGCTTACCTAATCAAGTATATTCTTAATTCTAAATTCTGTCAGTGACGAGTGTCCAAGGTCTGTACGGTATTATGAATTAGGTTTAGGACAAGGGATATTTAAGTAAGTGGATAAAATCTCTTGACGAAGTATCATATGAATTGTAGAACACTTACATAGATATTTTAACAGGAATAACTGTATACAACAATAAACGATCATATAAGAAATTCTTCCTCGAAGACGAGAACCTGGAAATAAGTCTGCCGTACATGTGAGATGGGGTTTGTGAAGCGGCTGACGACTGGCGAGTCCGCACACGTTAGCTGATAATAATCAGCCACTACTCGCTACAGGTACCCCCGAGAAAGTCAATAAATTTCCTGTATAGAATTACATTAAAATTTCATGAAAGTAAAATTTTCTGGCTCGATAATTTCTATGAATGGTAACAAGTGGCAGGAATGATAACCTCGAGATAGCGATGTTTTTCTTAAAGTATTCTTTGTCTCGTGGTTTTCATAACCATATCGATAATTTTTTCTTCATATCATATTTCCAAGGACATTAATACTGAATTTTGTAATATACATCGTTGTGGTCGCGTCATTGTTTGTAAACAAATTCAAGCATCAAATGCGTTGAAAAGACCAAACTGTTTACTACAGTGTTAAATAATACATTTGAATAAATTATATACATGCACTGTTATCAAGGTCTGTCTACGGTGGGTCATTTAGGACATAAACAATATCATTTTCTACATAAGATATTTTCAGCGTTTGACTTATTATATACAGCTTTTAATATATCATCTCGAGCATTCGACTTATCATCTCGAGCATTTACTTGACTTATAATCTCGAGCGCTCGACAAAGTATCTCGAACACTCTGCCATATTATCCAGAAGACTCGACTTATTATCTCGAACGTTTGACTTATTATCTCGAGCATTTACTTGACTCATTATCTCGAGCACTCTGCATATTATCTAGAAGACTCGACTTATTATCTCGAACGTTTGACTTATTATCTCGATCACTCGGCATATGTCGAGCACTCGATATATCTCGAGCACTCGACATGTTATCTTGTTTGTTCGACTTATGGCCTCGTGTGCCTGGCTAAGTATCTCGAGCGCTCAATTTATTTTTCTCTTTTTATTTCATTATAACTAAAGTTACGACCGTACGATGGAGAATAAAATTCGTCACATCATTATGTATAATGTTATCGTATTGCGTCTGAAATGTGACCATAGATATATTCAATTTAGTTAGAAGTGACGAAAAAAATGAAGGTAAACATCAGTGATGTATGTTATGTACGTCACTAGTAAACCTGTATTTCTCTCCGTAACTTTTTTATGAATATGAAACGAGCCAAGCGGCATTAATCTAAGGAACGATAATATTTTCCCAATTTTACCTGTCAGTAAATCCGTTTAAAAGATCGGCGACGGAAACATGATCTTTTATAATGAAATAAGTATGTAAATTCCCAAATATTTACATATCTTGGAGCTATAGTGTTTCGGATTTCAGTGTCTGCTAATTTGTAGAGTGAGTGTTTTAAGAGCTAAATACAACGTCTGACATCTTAAGCTGTTTAATTTGACCTCTACGACCCCGCTGTAATTCGGTACATGTAAATACTACACCCGTGTACGTACCTGTGTTTTAGCGTTATTTTATCTACATTCTACAGGTAAAATGCCGATACGTCAAGAATTAAAGGGCCATGTCTGCCATCAACCAAAGTACACAAATCTTAAGCTGTCTTTTGTATAGAAGTATATAGTGTACCCTCGGTAGTCCGGACAACAGTGTTCGTGGCCAAAAAAATGCGGTTTATCAAGTTTTCCGGATTGTCGGATTAAGCCATAATGGGATTAATGTCACTTAATTATTATGACGTCACATGTCAGTTGTTTGAGGTGATCAGAATCAATGTTGAAGTTTCCTTTCTCTAACAAAGTGCTTATCTACTTGGTCAACCATGTGTATCGTTCAGAGGTTGGTCGTATGTTTAAACTTTCGACTTTATTTTCTGTTTTGTAGGTTACAGCGGGTGAATGAAATGAACTACTTCTGACGAACCCCTTCTCACTTCAATAAGCCAAACCATCATGGCGGCCGCATCTGACAACATTGACATCTCGCGGGAAATCTCGCTGTGTAGTCTGTGCAACGAGACTTTCAAATTACCAAAAGTGCTGACGTGTTTGCACAGTTTTTGCTCGATCTGTCTTGAAGATTACATTGTAAAGTCCCTAGTTCAAAATGGTCAGCGATATTTCCCGTGCCCCACGTGCGAGGCTGAAATTGACATGCCATCGGACGCTTTACCAGGAAAATATGCTAATGCATTTAATGAAGACAGATTTATGGAGAAGCTGGTAGAACTTATCGATGCCATGAAGGAGGGAAAAGTATGCGACAATTGTGAAAGGAGGGAGGAAAATGTAACAGCCGGAAACTGGTGTATGGATTGTCATGACGCTCTGTGCGTTTCTTGCTTAAAAGTGCATACACACGGAAAGTTCACTTCCGGTCACGTGGTTATTGCTGTTGAAGAGATGCGTAAAATGCCTTTAGAGACGATAATGAAGAAAAACAATAAGATTCCGTGTATCAAACACAATGAGATAATTACTTTATATTGTGTAGACTGTCGGGACCCTCTCTGTGTCCAATGTATGGCCGTGTCACATCGGCGGTGTGAAAATGTTGTCACGGTCACGGACGCCATGTCGTCAAGCACAGATGTGCAAGATGTCATCGACAAACTGCAAAACATGCAGGCCTCACTGGAGAACGCAAACGGTCTTGGAGCCATGGAGGGTGTGCTTGAAGAAAGCATTGAAGCTTCGCGGAGTAGAATCATGGCAATTTGTAACGAAATATGTGAAAAGGTCAGAAAAGAACAGGTGAAGTTGTTAAAGGCGTTGGATAGTAAAGCGGAACAGGCCCGTGGCGCTCTCCGAGAAAAAATCGAGCCCAAGAAAATGGGTGTTAAAGCCATCCGATCTGCAAATGAAAGGATGAAAATGCTGACACGGTACGGAAGTGACGTAGAAGTTCTGTTAGCTTACAATCAAATCCGGAAACAGTTCGATTCCAGTCAGGGAGACTTGGAAAGTCTTGACTCGAAGCAATCTGCTGTTAAATTAGACTTCGAAGTCAATGACACAATGGATAGATTTGTGAAAGAATTTGAAAAGGTAGGGGAGATAACTGTAGATGAAGGCGATAGCAGTGAGGGTCTGTCGTCATGGGGAGTCACGTGCACATCTACAGAGGACATCATCGTGACTGACTGTAAAAACAGGAGGATTCAGAAATTCAGCAAGGTAAAATATGTCTATCTGTCTGTCTTTCTGTCTGTTTTTCCTTGCCTCATTTATGTTTTTTGTTTATTACTTAATGTTCGGATAAAATACTTTTTTTTCAGAAATAAATTCCTAAATCTTCCTTATTAATCTGAAAAACTAATTGTAGGACTAAATTTTTAGTATTATATCATTTAGAGTAAAATACGGAGTTGAATTTATCGAATGTCTTCTGAATAAGAATACTTTGTATTATATAGTATTAGTTAATAATGTACGTGCTGTCATTTGTTCTAGTTCGGTGATCTGGTCGACTACGTGCAATTGGAGGATGAACCACGTGACATAACCACGTGCGGACAGAACGACTATGTTGCAATCACGATGGTGGGGAAGTTGATTATCTACCTGACAACGAAAAAGACCATGCAGCTTATAAAGAGAGCGAAAACAGAGAAACAATATGATGGCATATCCTACTCCGATAAAGAGGCTTTACTTCTCGTGACGTCACTGAGGGAACAATGTGTAGATAAAATACAAATGGATGGAACTATTCTGCGGACATTCCAGAATAAACCGGATGGAGTGCTGTCGTTCGTGGAACCTCGGTACATTTCGTCAGCTCCCGATAAATCTATCGTAGTTTCTGATGTTGACGGAAATGAAGTGTTGTGTTTTACACATGACGGTAAGCCATTGTACAAGTACACACCGAACGGCTCAAATACTGTCAAAAGACCACAAGGGGTCTGCTTCGATAAGCTTGGAAACTTATTCATAGCTGATTACGGAAACAACCGAGTCCAACTCCTGACCAATGAGGGTGAGTTTCAGCGTCACGTGCTTGGAGAGGAGACTGGATTGGAGCGTCCCGTGGCATTACGTCTCAGCAACAGCAGTAGAATGATCATCGTCCAGGGAGACGGCATGGTCAAGGTGTTCAGCTACTCCTAACTCGGCAAAGTCCGGCTGGTATCAGTCATTATTCGGCGCTGCTGGTATGAACGATGTGCCTTGTGATCGGAAACGCGTACAAGATTGTGCGGGTTAACTCCCTTGAAACGAAAGACGAGACGTGTAAATACAACACGCTATTTAACTGCTTTGCATAACTTTGAAATGTAACCCAGATGTATAAATCTGAAGATGACCCGGATGTATAAATCTCATGTGTAACCCGGATGCAATATGTGGATATAAAACCCATATGTAAGATGTAGTCCGGATGCTGAGGATGTCGTCATAACTACGGTGAAAATTTCCAATCAGAATTTATTAGCATGATTTCCAAGGAAAACCTTTTTTCATGAATACACCAGACTATACTTAAATTGTTCAATTCAATATTTATTTCCTCATACGTTGACAAATACAATGACGAAACAGAAAGAAAACGTTTAACATCTGTGTAGAACAACATTTATTCATTTTACAACAATTGCGATGTAATTTTTTCCAACTTATATTAATCACTCATGTTCGTCCGGATGGAAAAGCGCGTGGGGTTTCACTGTGGGAGAAAAAAAAATTTACACCACCGTTCATCTTGCTTAAAGAAAAATAACGCGTGATTAATAATGACAGAAAAAAAAATTAAAAATTTGAACGGAAAAAAATTAAACTTTGGAAACATCAACCTTTCATTTTATCATGTTACGCGGAAGGGATAACTATTGCCAGTCTGTATTACGTAATTACACTATTCATATACATGTATCTTAGTTCACACTTACTTGCCATCAACACAATTAAAACAGTTTTGTTTTACGATAAAATAATTTCTTATTCTGATTGTAAAAAACAATCGGAGAAATTGATTTAAAAATAATGAATTTAACAGTTATATACCAAATCAATATAAAAAATGAAAACTGATATACCAAGTTATTTATTTACTATTTCTTTGTGTTTGTAAAATAATGGAACTGTTCTTGCTTTGGTATGACCCGACTTTTGAACTTTAATGTCAAGTTTTAGCCAAAATGGGAGGTTGTCTGAATGCGTCATGAATTTCGACGCCCGAACGGACATAAATCTCGCATGCTTGAGTCATCACCTGCACTGGAAGAATTCTTTTTCTTTTTTTAATTACAAACATATAATTTATGTATTGTTTACCTTTCTATAGTCAACTACAATTAAATTTTGGTTTGATTGTTAAATATTTTTCTTCATATATGATATACATTTTTGAAGAAGGGGAGGGGAGCGAGAATTTCAATATCGTGTTTTTTCATACCAATTAATAATTTTTTTGAAACACACGAAATTTTAATACTTACTCTCTAAATCTTTGAATAACACTCAACTGATTTCTAAATTTCAAAATTTTGTGATATTATAAATAAATGATTGCGTTAAATATCCATTAAGATTAAGATATTTTGAGCGGCGGCGTTCCTTATCAAAACAGCGGTTGTTATACTTAGTAATTACCTACCTACGTATCTCTTCTAAATATATACCCATTCCGTCCACATATTTATGTTAAGTTATTAATCTATGTATATATATATATTGTTGTTACTGCACATTATACTTATATATGTATACTTGATCACACACGCCCTACTAGTATACACAAAACGTCATTAATTAATAAGTATATATATATAAATTGATATTTCAAGGGCGAGGGATTTCATAACCAAATAATTTCATACATAGTTTGTCCTAATTTTATCTCATTGCGTTTTGTCCGTAAAGTTCATTCGTTTCCATGACGAAACAAAACAGAATATTTTCGCAAACATTTTATAATTTTTCACTTCCTTACACGTATGTTCGATGTCATATTTTGGACACTCCATAGAAATATTAAATTTTTATTTTTTTATCCAAACTCGAAATTTTTCCATAAGTTAAACTAGGCGTTTGAATGATATTAACATTTTAACTCACTTGTATTGGTTGTGAATGTTGAACGGTAACACATTCCTTGTGATAATTCAATAAATAACAGAATGGGGTTATTTTTTCTACGAGGTAGTACCTACAGCATTTTCCGATTCTTTCACGTTTTGGGACAAATCTGTGATACAAATCCAACCCTGTTATCATTAATATTATAATTATGTTTTATTCCATTATCGCAGGGTGGAATATTTTACCTCGCTTCCTGAAAATAAAGAAATCTGACCAATAGATTTTTATGACCCTAAACAGTACATTTGTATGCAGTATGTTACCAGCGTGTGTCTATATAAGTAAAGTACATTCAAATTTATGTTCATATTTCGCTTAAGTCATTTTATGTTACCTCATTTGTAATGTTAGTTAATTTGATTGACATCAGTACAAAAATGTGTATTTTTTTCACAAACATTAATATGCCTTTGTCAAGTTAATTAGCCCCACGCACGGATGATAGCACCATTTAAAGATAATCTGACATTAGGCAATAATTTGAATTAAAAAAAAACTCGATAGTGATGCGGAAATAATGAGTTATAATCGATTCTTTGATTTCATCTGATGTAATGATTGATTGTAATTTTTCAAAATCGATCATCGATACTTTACGTATTTTCTTAAATTTTAGCAAAATCAAAATTCATATTATGAGCTATAAAGATGCTTAACATCAACGATATTCATTTCTGTGTTAATTCTAGGCAAGTGAGATCTTTAAAGTTAAAGTTTAAAAAAAAAACAAAAAGATAGTACTGTCACAGAGAATATAGCCAGTTTATGTAAATATTAAACACAAAGTCAGCCATTTAATTAATCGATAACTACATTAAAACGCCTTTACGGTTTTAATCGATAATCGATTATTGATTTTAACCGATTTCCAATCACTCCTATTTGATATCTTTTACAATATATATCTAAATCATTACCAGATAATACGAGTGTCTATACTAATGTAACGGGATAAAAATCGCTGCGAAGGGAGATAACTTCAATTTGCAACGTATTTCTTCTTAAAATAGAGAAAATATTCTGTTTGTGAAAAAGTACATATTTTATGTGTATAAAATTGTATCGAACATGTATACCACCATATTGTACACGCTGAGCATGTATTAACCACCTACTCGGCGTGTTTACCCCTGTATCCGTGTGTGTTACAGAATAAACAGAGTAACAAAACTAAAGCTGAACATGCATCTTAAGTTGTTTTTTTACTCCCCCATGCCCCAAACCCCAACCCCCAATGTCCCAACCTCCCATGCCCCAAACCCAATGCCCCCTCCCATGTCCCAAGCCCCGTGCCCCAACCCAAACCCCCATACCCCAACCCCTACCCTATGCCCCAATTCCCACCCCATCCCCACCTCGATCCCCACCTCGATCCCCACCTCCATCCCCATCCCATCCCCACCTCCATCCCCACCCCCGTTTGAGTTTACTTTCTTATATCATTTATCCAAGGATTGAGAACGGAGGTAAAACTCAGTGTCTTGGTTGTTTTAGAAAAGAATAAGACCCTTTGTATTGTTGAAGGACAACGTCACCTCCTACCAAATGTCAAGATTATTGTCAAAAAGATGTTTTTATGCGTTGAGTAAATCACGAAAATTTGAATGATATACAACAACGATGTGTTTAAACTAAGGAAACTCCCAGCTCGTAAAGAAGAGGTTGTACAATGAAGTTTACTCACGTAAGAGAACACGTCTGAAGCCGTCTACAGTTAGAAGTAAAGAGCGCGCTGTCGTATCAAGTTAGTGCCAAGCAAGGGAGATAAATCCCCGAGTGTTCACAATAGTAGCTACACTTATATCATCCCTGGTTTGCCGAATGACAAATGTTGGAAGTTTAAGTTTTTCCAATTGTTCGCTGTAACCGGGATTTTAAATGTCCTGAAGACATTTCATCGCTCTATGTTAAACTCGTATCTTGTATATATGTGTACACAGATGTAGAGACCACACTAGACTGATATGATTCAGTTGGAAGTATATAGTACAAGGCACCCTAAGAATGATCCTTGTTAGGGTCCTAGGATTGATCCTTGTTAGGGCCCTAGGACTGATCCTTGTGGGGGTCCTAGGATTGATCCTTGTTAGGGCCCTAGGACTGATCCTTGTGGGGGTCCTAGGATTGATCCTTGTTAGGGCCCTAGGGCTGATCCTTGTTAGGGCCCTAGGACTGATCCTTGTGGGGGTCCTAAGGCTGATCCTTGTTAGGGCCCTAGGACTGATCCTTGTGGGGGTCCTGGGACTCGTCCTTGTGAGATGCTGGTTTTCCTTCCCTATTCGGAGTCCTCTCCATTCATTTTACGTTTTGATTCTTACCTGTTAGGAATGATGTTACCATGGAGAAAATTTGTTCTAATAAATAGAATGCCTTGAAATTTTAATGAACTTTTTGATAGATGTTATAGATAAAATCAATCACGTGACCATTGTCTAGAACTTCAGTCAAAATTTGAGGCACGTAGATCTTCGCCAAAAAATCTTCTTTATATTCTCTTACATTTGTTTGCAAAACTTTCTACGTGACAGATGTTAGACCATCCCAAATACTTCGAAGGACACCATCACTTCCGCTCCCTGCACCCCTGGAACCATCCTCGATATTCCAGGGGTAACCTTCATTATCACTCTCTGTACCCCTAGAACCATCCTCGATACTCCAGGGGTTACCTCATTTTCGCTCTCTGCACCCCTAGAACCATCCGCGATACTCAAGGGGTTACCACCACTTTCGCTCTCTGCAACCCTGGAACCATCCTCGATACTCCAGGGATTACCATCACTTTCGCTCTCTGCACCACTGGAACCATCCTCGATATTCCAGTTGTTACCATCACTTTCGCTCTCTGCACCACTGGAACCATCCTCGATACTCCAGGGGTAACCATCACTTTCGCTCTCTGCACCACTGGAACCATCCTCGATACTCCAGGGGTAACCATCACTTTCGCTCTCTGCACCACTGGAACCATCCGCGATACTCCAGGGGTTACCATAAATTTTGCTCTCTGCACCCCTGGAACTATCCGC